TTTCGATGTTCAGTATTATATTACATATATTAATATTACGCCTACTGCGGTTTTACTTTTTATTTGTACAACCCTACATTAATTTCCAAATCTCCAACCTTATGTAATCACAATTTGAATACGTAACTACAATGAAGTGTAATGTGGTGTGCGCTAATGAAACAGTTTTTAAAACAGAAAATGCCTTGAACTGGAATTGGTAGTTTTTCCCATGGCAGTAAAAAACATGATTTTATCTGATAAAAAACACCTCTGGTATGCATGACATCCCTTTTTGGAAAGTAAGCAGGAGGAGGTTTTGACATAAGGGGTTGGAAGAGATAAGGGGAGTCTTTTGCTGGGAACGTGGAAGGAAGCAAAGGGGAGAGACTCCCACTTAGGAAGGACAGTGGGAGCCTCAGAAGTGCCAGGAAAAGGAAAAGCAATGGGAAGGAGGGAAACAATTAGAATAGGGTTGCCAACTTTCTAATTGCACAAAACCGAACACTCTAGTCCCGCCCCTATCCTGAGACCATGCCCCACCCCTTCCTGAGGCCCCACCCCTGCTCACTAAATTCCCCCTCCCTCGATGCCTCACTCTCCCCCACCCTCACTCACTTTTACTGGGCTGGGGGAAGGGGTTGGGGCATGGAAGGGCTCTAATAGAGGTGTGGGCTCCAGGGTGGGGCTGAGGATGAGGGGTTTGAGGAGCAGGAGGGGGCTCCAGGCTGTGGGTTGGGGAGGGATTTGGTGTTTGGGATTGGGAGGGGGCTGTGGGCTGCGGCAGGGGGTTGGGGTGCAGGAGGGGGTACAGGCTCTGGGCTGGGGGTGCAGGCTCTGGGGTGGGCTCGGGGATGAGGGGTTTGGAGTGCAGGAGGGAACTCTAGGTTTGGGGGGGCTCAGGGCTGTGGCAGGGGATTAGGGCTCAGGGTTGGGGTGTGGGCTTACCTCGGCGGCTCCCAGTCAGCGGTGCAGGGGAGCTAAGGCAGGCTCCCTGCCTGTCCTGGCACAGTGCTGCGCCCAGGAAGCGGCCAGCAGGTCCGGCTCCTAGGTGGGGGGGCTAGGAGGCTCCATATGCTGCTCTTGCTCACAGGCACTATCACCCCAACTCCCATTTGCCATGGTTCCCAGCCAGTGGGATTGCGGAGCCAGTGCTTGGGGCGGGCACAGCACGCGGTGCCCCGTGCTCCCCCCACTGCCTAGGAGCCGGACCTGCTGGTGTCTTTTTGACCGGGCATTCCGGTCGAAAACAGGACACCTGGCAACCCTAACTTAGAAAGGATTGTTCAGGAGAGGCTGGACATGAACTGGCTGTAAGGAGGAGGGAGGAAATGGCAGAGCTGGCCATGATGGAAGGGGAAGCGTCTATCAGGAGATTGACATCTCCTCAATTATTCACATTTCATTAAGTGTTTGGAAACAATTATTGGCCAAAGTAGAGTATCAAAATTTAGCCTGCAATCTGGCTGCATGCCTCTCTGCCGTGGAATTTAGGCTCATGCCTGTTTTTCATTTATTTCCAGTCCGTCTCCTTGTCAAAGTTCTCCAAGTCCAAAATGTTTCAATGGTATTAAAAGATATGGTTTCATTTTTCTTTCCAAATCTCCCTATTTGTACCTAAGGATGATATTCAGATCACTTGCACCCATGTGCCCCAAGTGCAGCTTAGCCCAGCACCGGGGAAGGGGTGGGGGGGGAGGGACAGCATGCTGCTTTGATTTGAACAATGATCAGGTTTTTTTGGCACGGAAAGTATTTTTTTCCTTAAACAGAATAGTGTATAAAATTTTAGATTTAAAAAATAAATCCCTTTCTTACCTACTTATCGTCTCACCCTACCTACTATATATCGCATTCGCTTCAAAATAAAGCTCCACTGTAAATGGTGTCATTAGTATCTCTTCGTTTTTACAGTGCTCTATTAAGAGTCTATTCTAAATTGTATGTAACTCCCACACTGAAGAGTGGTTACTGAATTTTCTTCTTGCTCTGTGTTTAAATGGGCCATTCCATTTAATTTGTCCTATTTGTGCAAAAGGATGAGGATCAGCATAAACAGAAGATTAACACTAAGTTAATATTTCCTACAGTGGTGCAAAGAAAGTGTTTAATTCCTTGTTGAAAATGTTTGTTCTCTATGAGTGTAATGAAAAAAAAGTCATCTTGAAAATATTTAGTTTAAGCTGTCATTGCCATGGTAATAAAATAGGCTGATGTAATTGATGTAATTGACCAACATTTTCCTGTAAAAGAGTTTTGGCTATTTTTAATATCCTCTTGTGTAATTCTCAAAACTTTAGGGTTTTTCTTTTCTTTCAAAAACCTCTCCTGTGAGTCAAAGGTTTTTTTTAAGAGTGGAAATTGTGCAGAAAAAATGCTACAATAGCGTCCATTTGAAACATGAAATGCATTCCAGTTATTCAGTAGCAGTTCTTGGATCTCTGAGCATGATCCCACAACACTGTAACCAAAAAGGTTAAAAGAGAGAGAAGTAGGTGGTTTGCATAATAAATTTGCTCAGAGCCTTTTACAATTAAAAACAAAAACAGCCAAAGACCACATCAGACGGTGTGTAATATGCTGGGCGCTAAAAAGGAGTGGTGTGAAATGACTGCATGTTTAGAAGTCTTGTATTGTAATGTGTTGTGCTGAGAAATGCTTAGGGGTGTGTGGGCATTTGATTCATGCTGTCCATCCAGGGCTCGGATGTGTGCTGCAAGGGAATGTTTGTATTTTAAATGGAACAACCCAGTTAATTGTATGCAGTTTGACAGAGGCTCATTAACATGCAAAAAGAAGAGTGAGTAAAAGCTCACGGTTTATTGAACTCAGGGATGAGAAGAACAGGGGGAAGAAGTTAGTCTAAAAATCCTCCTAATGTGCCTATGCAAGAGAATGTTTGCTACAGGAAGAATAGACCCAATGTCATGACAAGTCTATCAAGAATCTGGACTCCTTGGATCAGATTCTCAGCACACGAAGGGGCCATAAAACCAGCTTAACTAGCTCCCTGGGGATTTGCTGTGATTCTGCTCTTCTTTACCTCAGTAGATCCATTGCGGTTAATGGAATTACATTTACTGTAGAATCAGTGTGAGTGAGAGGAAAATTATAATCCTTTTGTCTGTCTCCTACTGCTCCAGGAGGGAAAGGTCACTTTGAATTATATGGCTCTGCTGAAGTAACAGAACACAAAGTAATTTAGCATTAGGTTTTCACAATTTTATTGCCATGTGAACACAGCTTTCAATGTCACGGCCTGCCTTCCCTGCCACAATTACTACCTTGGGAAAGGTAACATTGCAACCTAGTGCAGAGTGCACGGTAAGACAAGAGTGAAACGTGGAGGAAATGGCAGAGGAAAGGATTGTCTTCCTAATAACTGCAAGCTGGCAGAGTTGAATAATAAAAAAGCAGACATAGCCCATAACAAACATGAACCGATAATATCATTGTGTTTTTCTCCATCTGATACATTGTCAGGGAGGCATCTGATGGCTTCTGCTTGGGGAGGTAGTGCCAGGGGAGAGGAGATCTGTAGTGGAAGGCAGTTACTCCCATGATCTTGGGAGTTTCTGAATACTGCCATTTATGGGCTGGATATTGGTTGTATTCTGGCCCTTTAGGCTACTTATGTGACTCAAAAGGAACAGGAATCGGCCAGCTGAGAGTTCCTCTGGTGCGAGAGAGTTCTCAGTTGGTGTTGAACGAGCGCCCCCACGCTTCAGCTCCAGAGGGGAAGTGGCCCAAGCATGCTCCAATCTAACTATGTTCAGTGGGTGTAATGTTTAAACATGTAGTCAGCTGCCATAAGTTAGAGCAGCTCCTAGATTACTCTGATTTATCCAGGGCCTCAGTGCAAACATAGACTGGTCCTGGGAATCAGGGGAACTATAAATGGCCTCCTGATGGATCTCTTTCTCTGCTGCTGGGCCTATGTTTTTAATGCAACGGAATGTATGGGAGTGGATTAGGTTGCAGGAGATGAAACGGGTGAGGGATCTAATGGGGGGCCTGGTGTGAGGAAAAGATGAAGCTGAGAGAACTGTCAGTTTCTAGAATACTGGAAAGTTTAAACATAGCAATTGTTTTAATCGCAAGATACCAGCAAACACAAGGGGTTAGAACCCAGTATCTTCAGCTCAGTACACCCTGCTACCACTATAGCCAAAGGACCAACCCCTTTAGCTGGTAACAGAAGAGGTCTAGTAGCCTTTGTAGAAAAGACACTAGGTGTGGCATGAGCATACACCTCTTGCCAATATGTTATATATGTTGCCTTTGAGGGCAAACTTGTGCCCAATATATTTGGTCCACAGTTCAAATAGGCAACTTTGCAACAACCCCTGTCACAATTCATATAGTCTACTTAAGGCATGTATACCATGCTTCCTTGTTCACTAGGTTTTTTTAAAGTATTACTAATTAATAATCATACTATACACATGCCACATTTTTATTAACTAGATTGTATTTTTTTCATGATCACACATTTTATTTTTCAGTAAAGAACACTGATATTTAAATATCCTCAAACCAAACAATTTCCCAGGTGTTTTTAAAATTTGTAATGCAGTCTGTCCTTTGAGAGAGATTCTGCTGACCCTGAACTATCTGATTTCTTTGTGCTTATGGATGATGACAAGTTACCTATCTAACAAAGGGGTAGTTTCCGTTCTTTATCCTCTAACATTACGAATGTGTTTCCTGGAAACTGATGAGAAAGAGAGACAAAGAAAAAACATTTTCTCATTTCCTCTCTATAGAAAATAAAGTACCCTCATTTGTAGTTAATAAACCCTCACCGCTGTTAAAGGGTTTTTTTATCAAGTTGCCGTCCTACAAAAGAGTAAAAAGAAGGAAAGCCGGGAGGGTAGTCTGATACAATAAACAGCATTGTAGGGTTTTTAGGCAGTTTAATTTGCAGGTTGGGCCAGATCCTGCAGCAGAATCTGTGCAGGTGCATCCCTGCATAGAACTGACTGCAGAGGGCTCTGTGTAGGGGCAAAAGTTTCACTTACACATATCCAGTTGCAGGACCAGAGTCAAAAGCTGATACCTGAGGAAGATCTAGATGGAGGCTTGAACCTGAAAAAAACAGAATAAATGAGCCTGCTCAATTAAGCATGTCCATAAGTCTTCCCAGGATCAGGGTCTTATTAAGTTTACTAGTTTAACAATTCCACTAAGTATTAGTCCAATTTCATCTGAAAGATTTCATTTAAAACAGGAATACTAATATTTAGCTTTTATATTTATCACCTTCTCTTGAAGACTGTAATGGTGAATATCTTGTTGTTGTTGTAGTTATTTTTAGATAGAACACATTAAATTAATCAGGGGCCATTGCTTGTTTGCATTTGTTTCCCCCTGGGATAAAATAAACAAACTTTAAAAGTCACAGATTTGCACACCATAGCAAGATTACAAATCTTATTTTGCAAACAACAATTAAACCTTTTTATGAGTGGTTTTATTTATCATCACACATTACTATAAGTTATGTCAAAAATACGTATTCACATGCAGATGTTTCCTGCTTTCCCAAGATTCGAAGCAAGCACTTTTCCTTTTGACCTCACTTTTAGTGGTTCATGCATAAGGTTGTGTTCTATATATAGGACTCTATTTTGCCTGCAAATCACATACTGTTTTCACATGTGGAAATAATAATGTTACTTCACAGGTGCAAATTACCAGTTGGAATTTGCTTCAAGGCTAAATGTGAAGACAGGCATTGAGATTTTTTCCCCAGTGTTGAACACCCTAAAAGGCATTGCAGATATTAGATATATGAAGATCCCATTACTGCAGTGCTTAGATAGATAAAACTACCACGGGAGTTTTGCCTGCTTAAGAACAGTAGGATTGGACCCAAAGATGTTATATATTTAGGAACATTAGCTTGTTTGCATTATGGATGAGCTAAACCACAAAATTTGGCTCTTGAAAACCCCCAAATTCAGAGGTGTGTGGAACCAAGGATTTGGTTCATTTTGGTCTATTAAGATATTTGCTAAATTTGGAAATCTGGAATCAGTTGTGTATTTTGAGATCTTCTCAAGTTCAGAGATAACTAGAAATGATTTTGGTTTGTGCCCATCCAAACTAAGCCTAATGAAATTGTGCAATTGTGAAAATCATAATTAGTATATAGAAATATCTGCATAATATCTGAGTATGAAAGGCAACCTGATATTAGAAGATGTGAGTTTGGTTTGGTGGGTACCATGTATAATACTTACTGTTCTTTGCTTAGTAGGTTCTTTGTTTCAACAAGGAAATGTATTGGTTTATTAATGTGTTTTATTTGCCTTCACTTTCACAAACAGATCAAGGCTGTAGCCTCTGGCATCAATCTGGGATATGATGATTTTTCCTCTGATAGATGTCTTCCATTCTCCATTTTCATCCAGCTGCAATCACTTTAATGCCATCTACCCTCTGACTGTAAGGGTAGAATTTTCAGTCTCCTTCAAGTCTGACCCTCTGATCAGCTGTGAAAGGAGCACGCTTGCATACTCCCCTTTGGAAACCTAACACATCTCCTCATTTATATTTCAGTTAAAAATATTAAGCTTTCACAAGACACATAATAATTTACTTGTAGACATAGAACTTTAATTGTATGCTAAGATGACTTCTTATTGTTTGCTATACCAGAGAGAGGGAGGGAGAAAAAGAAAAACTAATATTGTGGATTTTTTCATTATGCCTGATTTATATTTGTAAGTAGATTTGACTAGCGCTGCTAGATGTTGCTTTATAAGACCATACTGTTTCTCTCACGTGCTTTTTGATGACTGTTTTGTCTCTTTTATCCTTACACATTCTAACATCCTTTTTTCTCTCCAGTGCTTTTGCTTTCCAATGCTCTCCAGGCTTTCAATTAATTAATCAAAATCTTCTGTCCCCTGTTTATTGTTTAATTTAGTGGTTCTCAAACTTTTTTTTTTGCAGACCACTTAATGATCTTTCCAAATGTTGTTTGTACTGTTAGCTAACTATGGTAAAGCACTTTGGATAAAAGCGCTATATTAAAAAAAACCCTTAATAATAATTAATGTTTTTTTGGTTTTACAAATAAAAGCACATAACTCATATTTTAATACTAGTAGTCTTACCTTTCTAAGGTGATGGATGTGCCCTCTCTACCCCGCCACAGCAGCCCCTGAGCTGGGGCTGGGAAGGAGAGCCATCTCTCCCTGGCAGCCGTAGCCCTGGAACTGGGGAAAGTCGCCTTTTTCTCTGGCTGCCGCAGCCCTGCATGTCCCAAATTCCCCCCACCCCGTCTTCTCACCCCACTGTCCCCTCCCACCTACCCTCTATTCCCCCCAAGGCCACCACCTCACCTTACATGTGCATTTTCTCCAGGGTCCAGGCACCTAATTAGTGGAGCTATGCCTGCGCGGCTCCACTAATTAGGTGGGTGGCCCTTCATTCTCTCGTGTCTGGCCGCCCAGGCGCACATCTTAGAGGGAACAATCTGCAGACCACCTGCTGGAGCTCGCGGACCACTGGTTTGAGAACCTCTGGTTTAATGAATAAATCTGAAGCCATTTTGCTCTGGCATACATTCTTACTCCAGATAGCTGAAAAATCCATTCTATTACTTTACAAAAGAGATACAAGTTATAAGGACCAGCAAGAAAGGGAACATTGAAGAAATGACACCATAGAGGAAACTTTTTACATTGTCAAATGTAAAATAATGAAATGTAATTCAATCCTGATATTCTAATTATTATTTTCTATCCCTTTCTATATGTAACCTAGCCTTTTTATTTATTTATTTATTTTATTTTACCACAACTCCAGACTAAGCAGAGGTTTTCATTGAACTGTCCACAATGAAGATCTAGTCTTTCTTCCTAAGTGGTTACAGTTAATGTGGAACCTAGCAATATGTATAAATAGTTTACATTATTCCTTTCCATGTGCGTTATTTTACATTTGTCAATGCTGAATTTCATCAGCATCATGCTATCCATTCACCTAATGTTATTAGGTCTCTTTGGAGTTCTCCACAATCTTTTCTAGTAATGGCCATACTAAAAAATGTCATGTCCTCTGCAGATTTTGCCGTCTCACTCTTCACTGCTATGCCAGAACCTCACTGAATATATAAATCAATACTTAACCTAATATGGAGTTTTGGGGGACCCAGGCCAACACTTTAGTCCATCTCTTTGTTTCTGTCTCTTAGCCAGTTTCTAATTCAGGACATAATGTCACCTCTTGTCACAGAACTACTTAGTTTCCATTCATGAGGGAGGCTGTTAAAGACTTTTTGAAAGTCCATGTGCATTGAATCAATCAGTTATATTTTTCCCCCTCAAAAGCTATGAGGATTTTGAGCAATCCCAAAATACACCAAACTGTTACAGAAAAGTAGAAAAATATGCAGTTATGCTCATGAAATATGGACCGTGTTGAGTCTTGAACACAATGTAACACTGTAGCCTTGTATAATTCTGTTTGTATTATATAGTATTGTAGTGTTGCTACGAAGAATATGTAAAAGTAACCTGTTTGCAGAAGTAATATATAGCTGCTTTCAGCAGCATTTCAAAAGTAATTTCATTTCATGCGGGTTATATGGCATGCAAGTAAAGTTTCAAGGCCTTGCTTCAGCAAAATATTTAAGCTTCTGCTTAAATGTTTTGCTGAATCAGAGCCCATAACAATGTAATTATGTGCAGTTTACTGTAGGTTACCTTTACAAAATCAAAGGTTATGTCCGTTAAATAATGCAGCTCTCTCTGAATTTCACAGGACACCAACGTGTTTCTGTGACCAGTCTGCTGGTGTGCCATGGATTATTGTTAGTTGGAACAAATCTGGGTATTATAGTAGCACTACCAGTGCCTCGTTTGCAAGGAATTCCAAAAGTAACGGGTGAGTAAAATTTTTCATATATTTTTGTATGATGGTATGCTGAAGACTGGATTTGCAGTACATTGGTCAATAAATCAAGTAAATGTGTAAAATTTTGTGTATTGTATAGACATGGTTTGAGCTTTTTTATGAGTATTTGTTGATCCTACTTAGTTTTATAGTATATCTGTAACATATTTCTATTGTCTTCTGTTATTTTTGCTTTATTAAATCAGCGTCCATGACTACAACTGATGTTGTTCTTTTGAGGCAGAGTGGGATGGAGATTAGTTCTTCAAGCCATGTATTATGGAGGGAAGAAACCTCTGTGTCTAAGATTGGAACAGCCTTTCCACTGTAAAGAGAAATGTTGTTCTCCTCTACAGCTTTTGGAAATGTTATACCAGAAAGCAAATTGGCATGTCAGAGGAGAGTCAAGGGGGTGTTTATTTCCAAATTTGGAGAGAAATGGCATACTGCATTTGGAGAGATGGGTATTGAAAGTTCAGTGTTTTTCCTGATTGGTTATTTTTGTGACATGATCACTTCATAACATTGAGGTCTTGAACTGTAAAATTTGACTTATTGGTTAGCTTTTGACAACGATAGCGTTTGGGGGCCTGCTGAAGTGATAAGGCACCTTATTTTGGTAGGTTTCAGAATAGCAGCCGTAGTCTGTATCTGCAAAAAGAACAGGAGTACTTGTGGCACCTTAGAGACTAACAAATTTATTAGAGCATAAGCTTTCGTGG